ATTAATCAAAAGCTGAGTGAGAATCAAAGAATGTGAGTGAACTTTTATGACATATTAACTGCGAGTTATAATGGCATGCACAGAAGGATTCTGTGTGATTATGTTCTATTGTGCAGGTTTTATTGGGTAATCTGGAATTATGATTAGCTAGTGACTTTTGTTCCTCTTTTATGATTTGCGATAATAAGGAAGCTGCAACTTTAGACATTGTGAATCCACCACCCCTCACCCCTGACAAACGAAATTTTCTTTATAATTCTAGTGCATGTTTTCCTTAGTATATGATGTGCTATGTACCCCATGTTTTGATACCTATAAAATTTTGATATATGAGTGGTTTGAATGCTCAAATCCTTATGTAGAGCCACATTCTCAGACCAACTTGCCCTCCACAGGACTTTATATTGGAGAAGTGCATATATGATGGTATGAGATGTGAGGAGGACTACTATATAACGTCTCCCCACCTTTAGCACACGTGAGCATGTCTACATTTGTGTTTCTCTGAAATAATCTGACTTCCTTGCATACTCAGGTTGGCTCAATTGCTGCTGGTGGACGTTATGACAACCTTATAGGAATGTTTTGTACAAAGCAGGTTCCTGCAATTGGTGTCAGCTTAGGAATAGAAAGAGTTTTTACAATAATGGAGCAGCTTCAAAAAGATCAGAACGAGGTGATAATACATTTCATGTTTGAGTTTATGCATTTGTGTTGATAGATGTTACGTCACATCAATATCAAATTACTGCCAAGTGCATCTGTAGTCCAATTTCTTCGAAGAATTTAGGGGAATTAGTTCCTCTTATGTGTGGCCCTGAATACTGGGACAATTTATTTTGTCAAATGAAACTGACACCCCTTCTAGAAATATGTTGGTTTGAGGCCATTACTGACAAGACAAAAAGGTGTTGATGCCATCAAAGATTCTTGTGATCTTGTCTAATATATTCTCAGGTCAATGGCTGAAAGTTTTATAAATTTAAATGCCTCTGTTTAGATATTAAAGTAGTAGTAAAATACCATTAACTAAATTCAAATACCTGAACACCCTTATAATATTCTACTTTGTCTCTCTGACATAGACCTTCATTACTACTGCACCCACCAGTGCACCCCCAAGTTCTTAAATCATTTGAATTCATACAATGTTTTGAAAAATGAAATCTCAGTTCTTCGTCCGGGCTTCAAATCCACCACTCAATTCCAGGTGAAGGTGGTGGTTGTGGCGGATGGTGATGGTGACGGTGGAGAGAAGATGCTGGAAGGAGACCACTTCTCTTGTTTTCATTAAGACTCCAATTATTCAATTTATATAGTGGAAACAGGGAAATCATGGATCATAGGTGAATGTGGTAGTGGTAGTGGGTGCATGTGTTGGTAGGATTTATAAGGGGTGTGCTTCTAATTAGGGCAATTAACCCGAGCTTTTATTTCAAATTCATGCAAGGGCTTTTGGAGGGATGTAATTCACTTCTGACTCCGTGTTTGATAGCCCAACCGTAGTGATGTTAATGGTGGTTACATCCATAAGTAGCTTGGTCCATCTTCATTCCATGAGAACTCACTGCCTTGTGCCATTATTTTTTTGCTTATTTAGAAATCCTGCATACAATTTTTATTAGTTCCAAGATGATATTGGGATTCGAGATCTGTGAAATGAGTTGATTTGTTCATAATGATGCTTTTCATTTCCCTCTTTTTTGTTCTGTAAAAATAATTTTTATTTCTCTTTGAGGCATAAATCTAAAGTTTGGTTCGTTTATATTTGCATGTCATACATTTGGTATTTCATCTCTCTTTAAAGTTGGGTGAGACAATGATGTTCTCATTGATATGTTTTCCATTCCTGGCAGGCAATCCGAGCTACTGAAACTCAAGTCCTAGTCAGCATTTTGGGGGATGATCTAACTCTTGGAGCAGAACTAGCAAGCGAATTGTGGGATGCCAAACTGAAAGCAGAGTACATCGTTAATAAAAGAATGAAGAAGCACATTGATCGCTTATTAGAGTCAAAGATCCCTTTCATGGTTATTGTTGGTGAGCGGGAACTTAATGAAGGGATTGTTAAACTAAAAGATGTTGTGGCCAATAAAGAGTACGATGTCCCTAGAAATAGAGTTGTTGAGGAGCTTTACCAGCGGTTGAATGGTATGGCTTCTTGACTTCTTCAAGATGTTTAATAGAGAGATGGCTAGTTGGAGTCGCTTTGTGTGACATCTAGAGTGACTCATCCCACAGTGAGGCATATTGCAAATTCAAACGGCATCCAATGCTAGCTATGGATGGTAATGTTATTGGTTGAGACTAGTAACTGCTTTTATTGGTGGTGGTACTCGTTAAACTTGGTAGTCACAGGTTCGAGCTCAGGAATCAGTCTGTGAAAAATTAGAGTAAATTGCTTACCGTTTACCCTTCTGACTCTTCGTTATAATTGTGAGTTTTGTGTATTGGATATTTTTCTTTTTATAGTAACCAACAGTTTTTCTTTCCTTTTTGTTTGGATGAAAGATATTGAAACCAACAATACCTAGGCTCATCGGCGAGGCTTTGTTCAATTTAGTATCAGAAGTTGGCAATGTGTCGCTGCGTAGTGGTGGCAATTAAGTTGGATCGTATTCGTGTCGTGTTATTTTAAGTTCGTATCGTATATTAGTCAATACTAACATAACTTGTTTAACTTATCATCTCTTGTCAACTTATTTGTCTTTGAGTCGTTTTTATGTTGACCTGTGAATACAAATTTTAAGGTTTAGTTTTGTGTGTAAAATTTTATTATTAGTTAATTGAACTCATACTCATATTTTTTCTATACATTAAAAATTAACTTAATAAATATAATAATAAAAATAAGTAAAAATATATTTTTTATACAAGAATTAGGTCACTAGTTAATAAAATATAGTAAAAAAATGACATTTTATTCTTATAATACTATTTAAACATGTTAATCGTATTAATTTCGTTTTGTTCGTGTGTGACACTAATTTCACATATTTATTATTTGTGTTAACGAGTCGTGTTATGTATAGATTTGTATTGAAAAATGGTCAATTTTAACTCGCTTAGGTGAAATAGATTTCAAGTTGTGTTCTCGCATTATATTTAAAATTACCAACCCTATCTTTTCTTATTAAAATTTATTTGTTTGATGGGTGTAACAGATGTATCCATTTTTAAATAAAATGCATATTATATGTAGTATTGTGTCATTAAATTGGGTATAGGGTCATAATAATTTGCAACTGGGACAATAATAAGTATAATAATAATAATTAAAATAGCACCAAAAATTCAAAGGTGTGCCTTGTATATCTCCCGCACGCAGCTCAACTCTGATATCACCTCTCTCTCTCTCTCTCTCTCTCCCATGCTATTCTTGGCCTCAGTTTTTCAAACACCCCATCCAATCAACACTTCTCTCTCTCTCTCTCCAAAAAGCAGGAAAAGAAAGAAGAAAGCAAGAACAACCCACCCCCATGCCATCAAAATCCATTCTTGGAGTTTTCTGCATTCCCTTGGCAACTCATTGTGAGTCGTCAAAGCAACGCTAATGGGCGCGCACGCAGCCCCACTTGTGCGCCCATGCCCACCACCACACTCAACCCCACCACTGCTTCTCACGCTTCTCATCGTCTTCTCCGGTGCCGTTGTATCGTTCGATTCGCCGGACTCCGACGCCCTTTTGAAATTCAAAAACTCCCTGGGAGATGTCAATGATTTAGCCAGTTGGAATCCTTCAACGAGTCCGTGTTCAGGAGATTATGCGAGTTGGAACGGTGTTATGTGCTTTAGCGGGAATGTATGGGGTCTACAACTCGAAAACATGAATCTAACGGGTGAAATAGATTTGGATTCTCTCGTTCCTTTACGCAGTTTGCGGACTCTGAGTTTCATGAACAATGAATTCGACGGTCCGATGCCTGATTTTCGGAAACTGGGCCCGTTAAAATCATTGTTTTTGTCGAATAACCAGTTCGGCGGTGAGATTCCAGATGATGCATTCATTGGTATGGCTTCTTTGAAGAAAGTGTACATGGCNATTAATCAAAAGCTGAGTGAGAATCAAAGAATGTGAGTGAACTTTTATGACATATTAACTGCGAGTTATAATGGCATGCACAGAAGGATTCTGTGTGATTATGTTCTATTGTGCAGGTTTTATTGGGTAATCTGGAATTATGATTAGCTAGTGACTTTTGTTCCTCTTTTATGATTTGCAATAATAAGGAAGCTGCAACTTTAGACATTGTGAATCCACCACCCCTCACCCCTGACAAACGAAATTTTCTTTATAATTCTAGTGCATGTTTTCCTTAGTATATGATGTGCTATGTACCCCATGTTTTGATACCTATAAAATTTCGATATATGAGTGGTTTGAATGCTCAAATCCTTATGTAGAGCCACATTCTCAGACCAACTTGCCCTCCACAGGACTTTATATTGGAGAAGTGCATATATGATGGTATGAGATGTGAAGAGGACTACTATATAACGTCTCCCCACCTTTAGCACACGTGAGCATGTCTACATTTGTGTTTCTCTGAAATAATCTGACTTCCTTGCATACTCAGGTTGGCTCAATTGCTGCTGGTGGACGTTATGACAACCTTATAGGAATGTTTTGTACAAAGCAGGTTCCTGCAATTGGTGTCAGCTTAGGAATAGAAAGAGTTTTTACAATAATGGAGCAGCTTCAAAAAGATCAGAACGAGGTGATAATAACACATTTCATGTTTGAGTTTATGCATTTGTGTTGATAGATGTTATGTCACATCAATATCAAATTACTGCCAAGTGCATCTGTAGTCCAATTTCTTCGAAGAATTTAGGGGAATTAGTTCCTCTTATGTGTGGCCCTGAATACTGGGACAATTTATTTTGTCAAATGAAACTGACATCCCTTCTAGAAATATGTTGGTTTGAGGCCGTTACTGACAAGACAAAAAGGTGTTGATGCCATCAAAGATTCTTGTGATCTTGTCTAATATATTCTCAGGTCAATGGCTGAAAGTTTTATAAATTTAAATGCCTCTGTTTAGATATTAAAGTAGTAGTAAAATACCATTAACTAAATTCAAATACCTGAACACCCTTATAATATTCTACTTTGTCTCTCTGACATAGACCTTCATTACTACTGCACCCACCAGTGCACCCCCAAGTTCTTAAATCATTTGAATTCATACAATGTTTTGAAAAATGAAATCTCAGTTCTTCGTCCGGGCTTCAAATCCACCACTCAATTCCAGGTGAAGGTGGTGGTTGTGGCGGATGGTGATGGTGACGGTGGAGAGAAGATGCTGGAAGGAGACCACTTCTCTTGTTTTCATTAAGACTCCAATTATTCAATTTATATAGTGGAAACAGGGAAATCATGGATCATAGGTGAATGTGGTAGTGGTAGTGGGTGCATGTGTTGGTAGGATTTATAAGGGGTGTGCTTCTAATTAGGGCAATTAACCCGAGCTTTTATTTCAAATTCATGCAAGGGCTTTTGGAGGGATGTAATTCACTTCTGACTCCGTGTTTGATAGCCCAACCGTAGTGATGTTAATGGTGGTTACATCCATAAGTAGCTTGGTCCATCTTCATTCCATGAGAACTCACTGCCTTGTGCCATTATTTTTTTGCTTATTTAGAAATCCTGCATACAATTTTTATTAGTTCCAAGATGATATTGGGATTCGAGATCTGTGAAATGAGTTGATTTGTTCATAATGATGCTTTTCATTTCCCTCTTTTTTGTTCTGTAAAAATAATTTTTATTTCTCTTTGAGGCATAAATCTAAAGTTTGGTTCGTTTATATTTGCATGTCATACATTTGGTATTTCATCTCTCTTTAAAGTTGGGTGAGACAATGATGTTCTCATTGATATGTTTTCCATTCCTGGCAGGCAATCCGAGCTACTGAAACTCAAGTCCTAGTCAGCATTTTGGGGGATGATCTAACTCTTGGAGCAGAACTAGCAAGCGAATTGTGGGATGCCAAACTGAAAGCAGAGTACATCGTTAATAAAAGAATGAAGAAGCACATTGATCGCTTATTAGAGTCAAAGATCCCTTTCATGGTTATTGTTGGTGAGCGGGAACTTAATGAAGGGATTGTTAAACTAAAAGATGTTGTGGCCAATAAAGAGTACGATGTCCCTAGAAATAGAGTTGTTGAGGAGCTTTACCAGCGGTTGAATGGTATGGCTTCTTGACTTCTTCAAGATGTTTAATAGAGAGATGGCTAGTTGGAGTCGCTTTGTGTGACATCTAGAGTGACTCATCCCACAGTGAGGCATATTGCAAATTCAAACGGCATCCAATGCTAGCTATGGATGGTAATGTTATTGGTTGAGACTAGTAACTGCTTTTATTGGTGGTGGTACTTGTTAAACTTGGTAGTCACAGGTTCGAGCTCAGGAATCAGTCTGTGAAAAATTAGAGTAAATTGCTTACCGTTTACCCTTCTGACTCTTCGTTATAATTGTGAGTTTTGTGTATTGGATATTTTTCTTTTTATAGTAACCAACAGTTTTTCTTTCCTTTTTGTTTGGATGAAAGATATTGAAACCAACAATACCTAGGCTCATAGGCGAGGCTTTGTTCAATTTAGTATCAGAAGTTGGCAATGTGTCGCTGCATAGTGGTGGCAATTAAGTTGGATCGTATTCGTGTCGTGTTATTTTAAGTTCGTATCGTGTATTAGTCAATACTAACATAACTTGTTTAACTTATCATCTCTTGTCAACTTATTTGTCTTTGAGTCGTTTTTATGTTGACCTGTGAATACAAATTTTAAGGTTTAGTTTTGTGTGTAAAATTTTATTATTAGTTAGTTGAACTCATACTCATACTTTTTCTATACATTAAAAATTAACTTAATAAATATAGTAATAAAAATAAGTAAAAATATATTTTTTATACAAGAATTAGGTCACTAGTTGATAAAATATAGTAAAAAATGACATTTTATTCTTATAATACTATTTAAACATGTTAATCGTATTAATTTCGTTTTGTTCGTGTGTGACACTAATTTCACCTAGTTATTATTTGTGTTAACGAGTCGTGTTATGTATAGATTTGTATTGAAAAATGATCAATTTTAACTCGCTTAGGTGAAATAGATTTCAAGTTGTGTTCTCGCGTTATATTTAAAAGTACCAACCCTATCTTTTCGTATTAAAATTTATTTGTTTGATGGGTGTAACAGATGTATCCATTTTTAAATAAAATGCATATTATATGTAGTATTGTGTCATTAAATTGGGTATAGGGTCATAATAATTTGCAACTGGGACAATAATAAGTATAATAATAATAATTAAAATAGCACCAAAAATTCAAAGGTGTGCCTTGTATATCTCCCGCACGCTGCTCAACTCTGATATCACCTCTCTCTCTCTCTCTCTCTCTCTCCCATGCTATTCTTGGCCTCAGTTTTTCAAACACCCCATCCAATCAACACTTCTCTCTCTCTCTCTCCAAAAAGCAGGAAAAGAAAGAAGAAAGCAAGAACAACCCACCCCCATGCCATCAAAATCCATTCTTGGAGTTTTCTGCATTCCCTTGGCAACTCATTGTGAGTCGTCAAAGCAACGCTAATGGGCGCGCACGCAGCCCCACTTGTGCGCCCATGCCCACCACCACACTCAACCCCACCACTGCTTCTCACGCTTCTCATCGTCTTCTCCGGTGCCGTTGTATCGTTCGATTCGCCGGACTCCGACGCCCTTTTGAAATTCAAAAACTCCCTGGGAGATGTCAATGATTTAGCCAGTTGGAATCCTTCAACGAGTCCGTGTTCAGGAGATTATGCGAGTTGGAACGGTGTTATGTGCTTTAGCGGGAATGTATGGGGTCTACAACTCGAAAACATGAATCTAACGGGTGAAATAGATTTGGATTCTCTCGTTCCTTTACGCAGTTTGCGGACTCTGAGTTTCATGAACAATGAATTCGACGGTCCGATGCCTGATTTTCGGAAACTGGGCCCGTTAAAATCATTGTTTTTGTCGAATAACCAGTTCGGCGGTGAGATTCCAGATGATGCATTCATTGGTATGGCTTCTTTGAAGAAAGTGTACATGGCAAACAACGATTTTACTGGTAAAATTCCAACCTCGCTCGCTAAAACGCCGAGGCTTTTAGAGTTGAGGCTTGAGAACAACCAGTTTGTAGGGCGCATACCAGATTTTCAGACAGGTTTGAAGGTGTTCAATGTCTCTAACAATCGTTTGGAAGGTCCAATCCCTGAGAATCTCACCAACATGAACCAAAGCTCGTTTTCAGGTACATAATCTATCACATCTTGTGGCTTCTGTTTTTCATGTGTTAAATTGATCAACATCGAACTAAAATAAATCATTATTAATCTGGACATTATTGTCAGCACAATATTAAAAGTTTAAGTGGTAATAAAGATGAATTATAAATGTAGACGTTTTTAGTTTAGATTTTAGCAATACTTTGGAGCCACGAACGAGGGATTAGTCGATGAATTGCCTTTGATCGAACCAAAGAAAAAATTAATTGAATTGCGTATAAATTGATCATAAGATTTTGAATGTTGAAACAAAAGAAAATCAATAATTCATGTCAAACTACTAAAGTCGTAGGTTCCTAGGCAGGGTTTCTAGTCTGGGTATGGGACCTAGGTGTGGCCCACTCGAGGTATGAGACTTGAGTTTAAGAGATCAGATTTCACCTAACAGGTTCTGCAAATCGTGGGTATTGGCCAAAGTCGGTAACATGTATTTGCTAAAAATTGGGCATACCTCTATTTCATTGTTCTGACTTAATTTCCACACTTGACAATTTCCATACTGAAAGTTCAAAACAACGTTGACTGCCTTTAATGCACCCACCATGCAGGTAACAAAGATCTCTGTGGACCGCCTTTGGAATCATCATGCAACTCTCTCAGCTCTCCTGCTGAAGGGAAGGCATCTCCTCCCAATGATCCCAACCCTCCTGATAGTCCTAACAACAATTCATCTCCTCTAAGAATAGCCATCGTTGCCATAGCTGGTTTGATAGCATTAGTTGCAATCATTATGCTTGTTATGGTATGTCTCCGGAGCCGGAGCCGGAGCCGCCAAACACCACGATTGGGAAGGACCTACTCATCGAACAACTCGACATCTTGCCAGGTGAACCGAGTGGAACCTGCATCATCGGTTGAGACAAGCCAGAACACAACTAGGAAAGGTGAACAAGGAAAATTGTCATTTATAAGGGATGATAGGCAGAGATTTGACTTGCAAGATTTGCTGAGAGCCTCAGCAGAAGTGTTGGGGAGTGGAAGCTTTGGATCTTCATACAAGGCTGTACTTATGGACGGGCAAGCTGTGGTTGTGAAGAGGTTCAAGCAAATGAGTAATGTGGGAAGAGAAGAGTTTCATGAGCACATGAGAAGGCTAGGGAGGTTGAGACACCCGAACTTGCTGCCCCTTGTGGCTTATTACTACCGAAAAGAGGAGAAGCTGCTGGTGTTTGATTATCTGCAGAATCGCAGCTTGGCTAGTCACCTTCATGGTATGCTACTTCTCATTCGCTAATGTCCATGTACTTTCAGTTTAGTCTGCTTGTTCAATCCATCCTAATTTCTTCCCTCTATGGAGTCGAGTTGGAGACTCAGTACCTTGTAAAATACCTTGTAAATTACCTCAACATGTCGTGGCACTATTGATCACTTTCACCTCACTAATGGAAAGACCCGCGAATAAAAAAGTGAGAGAAGTTGTGCAGAATGTATTGTGATAATTGGATTGATAATACTTCACAGTCATCACTCGGATATTTGACAGTAAGGCACCCCCTGTTATTCATGCTGCTTTATTATCATCCTTTTGTTATACAATCGATAGTAGGTTGTGATATGATAATAACTCCAATTTTGGTTGTTCAGGCAAGCATACTATGGGCAAAGGTGGGCTTGATTGGCCAACTAGATTGAAAATTATCAAAGGAGTGGCAAAGGGCTTGGCTTATCTCCACAGTGAGCTTCCCAGCCTGATTCTACCCCACGGCCACCTGAAATCTTCAAATGTGCTTCTTGATAAATCCTTTGATCCATTCTTGATGGATTACACTCTAGTGCCTGTGGTCAATCTAGGACAAGCACAGCAGCTCCTGGTGGCTTACAAATCACCAGAATATGCCCAAAATGGTCACACCACCAAGAAGACCGACGTGTGGAGTCTCGGAATCCTGATACTGGAGATATTAACCGGACAGTTCCCGGCCAGCTATCTTGTTCCAGGTTCTGCTGCAGATTTATCAAGCTGGGTCCAGTCCATCATTAGAGAAGAGAGCACAGAAGTTTTTGACAGAGAAATGGAGTTTACCAAGATTGGTGAAGGAGAAATGGTGAAGCTTTTGAAGATTGGAGTGGCTTGTTGTGAAGAGGATTTGGAAATAAGGCTGGATTTGAAGGAAGCTGTTGAGAAGATTGAACAGTTAAGAGGTGAATGATATCTTCATGAAGTGTATGTGTGTAGCTTTGATGGATTTTCACTTCCCTGCATATTGAAGAATATATAAGATGATTGTGGCTGTCACCGGCATTGGTTTTCTCATTCAAGAAGCAAGATTGAAGTAGAGATGGGAATTGATGTAGGCCTTGACCAAGTTTTTTATTTAATTTACTTATGTAAAACAAATTATGAGTGAGATGATACGGATTTTATGCTTATATGTAAAAAAAAAGAAGCAAAACATGTTTTTTTTTTTTTTGCTTTTCTTTTAGATGAATATTCAACATAAAGTAATATCACATTATCGTTGATGCATGTCATAGGTGTGGTGTCTTGTTATTGGATTGATTCTAACAATAGATGTTAGTGATCATAAGATACGACGATGATGTTTCATGTTTACACTTATAATTAGAAGCACATTGGTCATACAAATTACACGGGATAATTCTTGCAATAGTTTGAGACAGCGACCTCTAACCTGATGAACCTGAAATAATCACAGTGTCAGAAAAAGGGGGGTCAGGTGAACACCTGGCTTATTCCCTCCGAAGCTTAGGTCAGTCTCAAGATTCGAGATTCAAGTTCAATGAATAGTTTTTTCTGGTTCAATCTTGCATACATTTGTTCATTTTGCTGAGGAATTTTTATATATGAATTAGCAATGAGTGTCAAAGACCTCAAGTCTCATCTGGACATTTAATGTCTGACACACTTCCTCCTGCGCAATAAGTGTT